TTATTTTTTATTCGTTATTAATGTGATTTTTAGCCATCGGCTAGTTCATCACATATATATGAATCCTTTCAAATTGCCACAAACAGATTCTAATTAATTTTTATAGAAATTCATGGAAAATCAAAATTTCTTATATAATCTAATACTAAGAAGCTGAATTAAATATATAAACTAATCCACGTTCAAAGTAAATTATTGTGAAGTAATGAAATTGCGTTGTTAGCGGAATGCTTAAATAAAACAGTATATAGGTTATCTTCCATTTAATTCCACTTAATTAATTTTGGTATCCATGACAGATACGTATTTCGACTACAATGTGTAGTCTTCATCAGTGCCATTCCCACAAAAGATCTTATCAAAATCTAACCCCCTTAAGTGACACTTATTCGTTGAGAGTTATCGTAGAACTAGTTCCAATAAATTCAGAAACATTTCAGGATCTTTATAGAAGCTCCTAAAAATTAAGGGAAGTTCACAAATAATCAGGGAAATTCAATGATCTTTAAGGAAGTACCGAAAACTTCAGGATAATCCAGCTTTCTGGGAAGTTTAAAGATTTCTAAGGGTAAGTTCCGAGAAATTAGGTCCTGTTCCAGGAATGTCAGGAATATTTCGGAAACATACAAGATATGATTTTTTTTTCTTTCCAAAACAGATCACCTCTTCGAATGTTCAAAAAAAATTAAGAAATTCTGAAATGAGCAAAATTTTAGTTAATTTAATTTATTGTACTTCAAGACATAGCCAGGACATTAACCAGTGGCCAGTGAGCTACCACATCGAACTTTGGTCCTAAGTTCTTCTTGTTGACGGTTATGAGCCTCGGTTTTGAGATTGGAAACAAGAAAAGGTTCAGATCAGGGTTCTGCTGCAAATAACAGTGTCATCGCTTGTTTTTGTTGCTAAGAAGACCTATTTTGATTGGTGAGAAGGTACGTATTTGGAGACGTTCCAGATTTTTTCAAATGATACAGAACATCGCAATTGGTTGAGGATTCATGTAAGACCTGCTTTGGAATGGTATCAGAACTCTTCGAATGATGCACAACATCACAATTGAATGAGGCTCCTCTCTCCTCGGCTCTGTAAAGTTAATTCAGTTGAGCCTTATCAAATAAATTAATGAACAAAAAAACACATACATATTTATATGTATATGTGTTCTTCTAAATGGATTCTGTTTATGTGTGATGTGTGAATCATGTGGAATTTTACATGGAAATTCGTCAATAAAAATGTGTGGAATTTTTTAGAGTGTTACTTACACGGTGCGGTGTCTTTGTTAGAATAACATAAAACTTTAAAAAATGGCAATCCAGAAACCTTCCCGCATTAAAAATAACCATAAGAAGCGCCTAAACACAAATTTGGGATATAAACCCAACTATATGTGGTACGGTCGTATCATCTTTGATATCATTAGTGTCTGGTACCCGTTTATTAGGGTTCTTTGGTCATTTGAGACTACTGAAATGTTTCTTCGGGGGATCTTTTTTCTCGATTTTTCCCATACAAAAATACTAAGAGAAGAGTGACCCATAGAAACAAACACTCAAATAAATTTACCCATATTTTGTATGAAAAAGCATAAAGTCGCCTCTTTCGATTGGTGATGATTTCGAGATTGCTGATTTTTGTTTTGTTTAAATGCTATTCTAACAAACACACCTTGATTACTTAAACATCCTTTATTAAGTTTGGTTTATTTAGACATGCTCTGCAAACAGTTCTAATGGAAATGTTACAAGCAAACATGGACATTTTGAGGCAATAAGAGGACGTACAAACATACTGATAAATGAGAACATGTCCTACTTTAGGATACCATATGGTAACCCTAGCTTCAACTGACCTTGATCACAAAAGCTTGCGATGCGAAGTCAGTCATGAATAAAAGATGTTATCTAAGATCACACTCCTCATACTGTATTGCTAAATATCTACTGATAAGCTATCTGCCTGTCTGCCACCACGTGTTTTTGTTTATGTCGAGTAATTTCGTCATGCTTTACGAATGTGTTTTGCGATCATGCATTGCGTTCTCTCTGTTTTGTTTATACCACCATCGCACTATGGGCAAAAATGGGTCCAAAATTACCCAAAATTCAATATCTCAACAGCACGCTGAATTCCGGCCATGAAAAACGACTTTTCTGAAGGGAAATCGTTCGGGGAATCGATTGCACGTGGTCTCATAGACCGGAGAGCCTTGCAGGTATGTGTTTTGGACCATTTTACCCCATTTTCCCCTACTTTTGGAGGAAATATTTTTTCACAGCTCTATTTTTCGTAAAACATAAGCACATTATGCATGGTTTTAGAATACTATGTCTTTAAACAACAGTTCATGATATATTAGGGGAATACGGGGTACACTTTATAGGGGAGTAAGGGGTAAAAGTGAACCCTTGCTAAATTTATTTTAATTCATAAAAATGTTGAACGATGCGATTGTTTGAATGAACCCAAAAGGTTGCATGCAATAATAAGATTTTTTTTTGAAATTTTAAGGTTAATTGGGGTTAAATAAGTTTTAATTTACTGCTATCTGTTTTAAAAGAGTTTTCACTCTATTTGTCTGTATACAGCAAAACGATATAGTGGTTCTCAGAATTTTGTAAAAATTGGTAGTTTTGTTCCTAGACGCAACATATTAGACCCTTATTTTTTATTTTGTCATTAGGGTGACTATTTATATATTAGGGTGGCCAAAAAAAATTTTTTTTTATTTTTTTCAAAAATTTATAACTTTTGAACTGTTTGGCCGATGACGGAACTCAAAATACCAAATGAAAGTTAATTAAAAGTATTTTGAAGAAAAAAATATTAGGATATTAAAAAAGGAGTTTGTATTAAAAAACATTGATTGTTTTTTTCAATTTTACCCCTTACTCTCCTATAAAGTGTACTCCGTATTCCCCTAATATCTCATGAACTGTTGTTTAAAGACATAGTATTCTTAAACCATGCATAAATTGCTTATGTTTTACAAAAATAGAGCTGTGAAAAAACATTTCCTCCAAAAAGTAGGGGAAAATGGTGTTAAATTGTCCAAAACACATACCTACAAGGCTCTCCGGTCTATGGGACTACGTGCAATCGATTCCCCGGACGATTTCCTTTCGGAAAAGTTGTTTTTCATGGCCGGAATTCAGCGTGCTGTTGAGATATTGAATTTTGGGTAATTTTGAACCCATTTTTGCCCATAGTGCATCGCATCGTTCGGTTACACATCCCGGTCGGACAAGGTTTTCATTTTCTTTTGCTCGGCGTTGATGGTGCGAACTGCGAACTGCAAATACGACCAGTGTATGCAGGTATTGCTCACCGATGTCTCGTGCCAAATGATCCGTCGTGGTCACGACCATATGGTGCGCATGCGTATCTTGGCTCCTTCCGCCGTCGTCGCCGGGGTCGGTTATTACCAAAGCAGATTGTTGTTGGATCCAAGTGTTTTCGATTTTTCGCATGGTCGCAGCGTAACAGAAAAAAAGGTGGAATGCCACATGAAGAATCCACTTACCAGGACAAAGCATATCATCATATCTTGAAATTCTGGTCACAATCAATCCAGCTTTCCAGCACACACATACATTTTCCTTAAACATATCGTCACGGAACTCACTAACGACATCTCGCGAGCTATTCGCGGATAAAGCTTGCTTGCCAAATGTCTAACAATGTTGCATACAAGTGCGATAGAATGTATAGATACGTCAAAATGATCCGATACCAGCGCTGTGGAGGGGGATTCGCAAAACTGATAATATTTAAAATGGACGTTAAATGCGAAAGAGTTACGCTGTTTGTCTCCTTCGTGACTTCCCGGATAGGCTTCATTACACATGTAGGACTCTGCACGTGAAAGTCGCCGAGCTGCGATGAGTTGGAAGTTATCAGGAACTCCCTTGCACCTCTGGCTGCCCCACAGATTTTTTAGATCGAGTTGGTCGACATTTTTTCTATAGTCAATAGATACCAAATACAGTGAAAGTGACTATTGGAATTCGTTGAATTACTAGGGTGATACGAAGCGTGACAATATGGTCTACACAAGATCTTCCAGCATAGAATCCTGAATGTTGCCGATGGACATTCGCATCGATCTGCCCCTATTTCCGATTGAGGGTAACTTTGCACAAAACTTTGAGAGCATTTGAGAGAGATGCTTCGCCACCCTCTTAAGGACCTGGTCTTATGATAAATAAGTATGTTGTGGAACATATTTATGCGTAAAAGATGCTTTAAAAAGTTTATAGAGATTTCTAAACGGGTGTTCAGGACGATGTAAGAAGGGACTGTTCATAAACTATGCAGACAGTCTTTGAGAGGTAGTGGATCCCTTGCGTAGAAAATCGTCCATACATTTTTTTTGCAAATTTGTACGCACCGCAAACTTCGCCGCAGACACTCGCCACTAAGGTGTCTACGTTGATTATGAACAGCTCCTATAATGGAGTTAGGGAGATATACTTCGGGTTTTATTAAATTGATCTTTAAAACCTCTAGGAACGTTTGATAAAACTAAACATTTTACTTGGAAAATGTTCATACCATACATCTATTCATCAAAATTTAGTTTCTTATCAGTGTTTTGTTCATCATTTTGAAGCTAGAACATTGAAAAACTTCGACAAGCTGATATTTCTAATCTTAATCCAATACTATTCAACATCCTATTATAAGTAACGCCACAAGGTATCGATTTTCATTTCAAGGGTGGTGTTTCTGAGACAGTATCGTACATTGAAAAAGTTGGCATTCCATTAGCGATTAACAGTCTAAGCAGTACTGACATTAGTTGAATGATAATTCGGGGTTGCGTATTTGAAAATCCAGTGCTTAAAATCTCAGTCTGTAGTTAGTGGCGAGCTTTTATCCCCTGCAAGCGTATAACATTCTCCTGTTCGATACGAGTATGTGACTGGCATCTAATAAAAAGTTACCACTCGAGCTCTTTGTTGAATCTTGATGTATAAATTTACAAATTTTTGTAGGCATCCAAATCGGAATCCGAAATGCGTGACATTGCGGCCAGAATCTGCCGGGACTATCTGACGGGTGCTTGGAAAACCATCCCGGCGGAGGATCTTCAGCTCAAGCGGATCAGCGGGGGACTATCCAACTTTCTTTATTACGTCAGGCTTCCGGATCAGCAGAACGGCAGCTCCCCGAAACCCTCCAGCAACTGCTACAAACGACCTCGCAAGGATAGTTATTCCAACTTGCTGGAACCGAAAGAGGTAAGTCTAATTACGTGTGGGTAATCTATTTTTGTACATTCGTTTGAACTCGCATATGAGTAAACTATAGTGTCGTAGTATGACGATTACCGAAAGGAAATATGCAATCCTGATACAACGAGAGTTGGGTTGAAAGATATTTCGGCCTAAGGACCTATTTTCGTCCTATTAAGCAAAAAACATCAAATATATCTATGATTTCGCCGTGAACTAATCAGTCATAATACGTTGGGTACGATAGGATTTCAAAATTTGCACTACGAAGGCTATAAGAACACATATTGCGAATCTATTATGGTCTGCCTGCAGCCATATGTCGAAGGTTATCAAGCCAAGTTTTACTCTCCTGGTATGAAGAAAACAATACAAGTATTGTAGTCAATCAATATGAAAAATATTCAAGTTCACCTTGAATCTTCTATTTATGAAGCAACGTAGCCTCCTTATTTTTCCAAAGCATGAACATAATTTTTCTAAACTTTTTCATCAAAAAATGTTGCATTATGTTTCTGCCTCCTCGTTCATGAATGTACGAACGTAAACAATCAAAACAAGAGTCACGATTGGGCTTTACACAAAATGCCGTTTGCTGCCAACTGATGGAGATGAATTTATTATTTCAGTGCAGCCAACATAATACAATATGATCAATATGGAGCTCATTCATAAATTACATAACGCCAAAGTGGGTGGGTGACTATATGTCAATGCAACACTTAAACAATTATTGTAAAACGGTCTACACTGATTGATGACAAATAAAAAAAACCAAAAATAAATGCGTTACAAGATGGCACAAGATGGAATAGAGAATAGGGGTGATAATTATATAACTTCTGGTAAGGTCATTAACAATTTAATTTATTTTTAAAATGACAGCATTTTTACTTTTCTTAAAAGAAGAGTATAGGCATAGAGGTAACTCTAAGACTAGAAAGTCCCGAAAACCCCATTCACATTACAGCATATATCACATGATATACGCTGTCTTGCAATGAACACTCATACATCTAGTTTTCACTGGAAATCCTATGTATGAGTGCTCATTGCAAGACAGCCTATATTACGTGATATAGGCTGTAATGTGAACGGGGTAGAAGAAACGTGCTCAACTTTTTGGCTCAACTCTGGTACTCTCTTCGGTCCCAAACTAATCGATGCACCCCTCGAAACATAGTAAAATCTACGAACCCCTCATTTTATCTGTCAAACTTTCATAGCAAATCAAAACAAACATAGTGTAGTACTAGAATTTTGATTATAATGGGGTACGTTAACTATTTGCTTGGGACCAATAGGCTAGTCAAGTAGTGAGCCAATTTAAAATCGTTAGTTTCCACCGGTACACTATTTCGAAAGAATAATAGAACTTACTTCGAGGGGACACGGTGAATGGAGCACCCACGGTGACTGGCTAATTGACGCTACTGGCGCGGGCCGCACGTTGGGCAGCGCTGGTATATTCCCTTCAGAAAACCGACGTGCCAACCCAGAGTGCCGAATTTCATATATTATTCAGTGTGTATGTGTGTGTGTGTTGTAATATTTTGGGCAACGTGTTTCTCGGCAACCACTGCATAGTGGGCAAAAACTGACCTAGAAACTCACTTATTTCGTGCCGCTGGTTCCAGGAGGTTTGAGGTACCTATTGTTGTGTAAAAAAAATCCGGGGAATCGAATGCTGCTGGTTTTATCTTGCGCAGACATCGAGAAGTGCTCGATTTTACCCGTTTCTCTCCATTTTAAATTAGTAGTTATTTGGCTGTTAATAATTACACATAAATAACGAATTTTGGAGAAAATGAGGCAAAAAAAACTACTTCCCGAATTCCACACTATCCGATAAATGCTCTAATCGATTCGTTGGACATTTTTACTAAAGAAATTATATGTCAAGAAGACTTGTTGTTCGCATTTCAACCTTATTGCTTAGCGCATATTAGCTTATTGCGTGCTCTCAACTCAACTTAGTGTTCTAAATGCTCTTCCACAGTTATTAATTGAGAGCTTTCGATGCCAATACCAATGCATGAATTTGTATATTGTGTGGCAAGCACAATGATACTCTATGCCCCGGGAAATCGAGAAAATTTCCAACCCGAAAGATTCCCTCGACCGGATCGGGAATCGAACCCGCCGCCTCCGGCTTGGTAATACCATGCCTTTACTGACTAGGCTATAAGGCCCCTGAAAGAAATTATATGTTTTATGTCTGAAATCTTGCGGCAGTTTTCAAAACTGTTCCGGACATTTTTGAAAACGTCATTTGATGTGATGACGTATTTTGAATGTATTGATGAAGCAGCTTGCCAACAATTTTGTCGTTTCCTTCAACCGGTCCGAGTGAGCTATATTTTTTTTTTATTAATTACTTTATTTGTACAGGCTCAATCGAATAAACTTTACAGAGCCGAGTTATCATTTCTGTTATACATTATTGATTTCTTATATTTAAAGTTAAAGGAGCTGGACCGGATACTCGCGGTTGTCTCGAGGTTAGTGGGGATTTACAATTTTTTTTTATGGGAAAAGGGAGAGGGAGGTTTGAAATGTGGTTTACGATACAAATATTTAATTAATCCTAAAACATGAACTAATTTCTATTCATCTTGAAAACAAACATAAAAAATAAAACCACACGTACAAAATACAAACTAAACACAAGGTTAATAAAACTTACAATCTAATGTTAATATTCTTAAAGTAAACATATATGAGTTTCATAAACTCCAGATCGCGCTAGCCAAAATATCCCGAACTGGAACATTAGGTTGTCTACCTCGAGCCCGAAGGGAATCGTACAGTTCAGATCTGACTCCGCGATGCTCAGCACAAGACCAAATAATGTGATCTGCGTCCTGGTAACCTTGTCCACATTCACAGAGATTGCTGTCCTTCAGCCCAACACGGAACAAGTGAGCGTTTAACGAATAGTGATTGGACATGAGGCGAGACATCATACGAATGAAGTCTCGACCCACATCCAACCCCTTGAACCAAGAACTCTTCGACACCTTAGGGATGATCGAATATAGCCATCGTCCCAAACTCCCTTCACTCCACTTATTCTGCCAGCTGACGAGTGACTGTTGACGATAAATGAAGAAAAATTCATCGTAGGCGATTTGTCGATCGTATATATCGCCTTCCATAGCGCCCACCTTAGCAAGTGAGTCAGCCATCTCATTGCCCGGAATCGAGCAATGAGATGGGACCCATGCAAAGGTGATGACAAAAGATCTTAAAGATAAAGCACTTAAAAGCTCTCGTATTTTCATGAGAAAATACGAGGAGTGCTTTACCGGCCTCATAGAGCGAATAGCCTCGACAGAACTGAGACTATCCGTAAAAATAAAATAGTGATCTGGTGCAAGTGAGGCGATCGTTTCTAGCGTATAATGTATTGCCGCCAGCTCAGCAACATATACGGAACAAGGAGCTTGAAGCATTCGAGAGGCGCTATGAAATTCGTTATAAATACCAAAACCAGCGGACGACTCTATTAGTGATCCATCTGTGAAGAACGATCTTGCGGAATCAACTTGGCCAAACTTTGCAGCGTAAATTGACGGAACAATCATGGAACGATGATGTTCTGGGAGATGTCGGAGAAGCATACACGATGAGGATTATGCTGTGAAGGGCTGACATCCTGTGTTATGTACACGTAGTACAATGACATAAAACGAGTTTGAGGGTTCAGCTCAAGAAGCTTTTCAAAGTTTTCGATTACCAGTGGGTTCATAACTTCGCAACGGGTGAGGAGCCTGAGGGACAATTCCGAGAACCGGAGTGAGCTATATTGCAAAGGCAGTTTTTCATAACAAAAAGGGAAGAAGATTATATCATTATTGCTTTCCATTTCTGACATAGCGTTATCGTTCGGCTGGTTGATCGCTTGTCATTTTCTCATTTTGAGATATTTTTGACGGAAATTCACTTTTACCTATTTTTGACTAGTTTTCTCTTTTTCTCCTTCTAATGTTGTCAAAAACGGAGGAGCAAAACCACCCAACAGGGGCAGTAAAGTGTGGGAACCCAATGTTGAGTATCCTCATATTTACCTATGATTGGGTACAACTAACTTACTTTTGGTTAAAAAGCCAGTGGAAAATTCCACACGAACTGCACACAAGTAAATGAAAATTACTTTCACCAGCTTTACCTACTTTTGGGTTCCTGCACTATAGTGCCGAGATGAGTGAAAAGAACTTAATTTTGTTGTTTAACTTGTGGATAGTGATAAGTCCTCGGGTTGCCTGGTCCGAGGATGATCTTGAAACAAGGAAAACATGAGTTAGTTAGTCTTCATCTATGTGATTCCTAATCTTCTATTCGTTGTTCCCTAGTTTGAAGTGGTTAAGACTAGGGTTCTGATGCATGGTCATTATCGGTGTCATTGCTTATTTTTGTTACTAAGGAATCCAATTTTGACTGACAAAAGGGCACACCTTTGGAGGGTGTTCCAACACTCCGAAGGCTATAAATAGCGGGACCTTTCAATTAGAATCGATTCGTTGCGATGAAGGCAAGAATGACAACTGTATCAAAACCAAATACTTCATCATTTCTGAATAGTGATGAAGTAATACGACATGCACTAAACTAAGGACACGAGATATAATACAATATAGATCAAATTACTGGTCGCAGTGGTGTTATGTCCGAACAGAAGGGAAAAAATGTTATAGTGCCCGAACTTTCTTTACATATAAGTATCAGATATTAGCCACATCCGGAAATCCGGGTAGTATCGTTCAGTACGTGAAAGTTTACGACCTACCACCAGAAGTCCCGGATAGCGATCTAGCATTGGTGATAGGAAAATACGGAACACATGAATAATACATTTTATTGAAAATTTTGCTTCATGGGACACTCTGTGATCAGAGATATAACCGAGAGATACATTTTGAAAAAAAAAAAAACAAATATTTAAAGGATTGAAACTCCTTATATTGTATATTTATCATCAACGATTGCAATTCAAATTTATTGTTGAATTTACGACTAAAAGGGCGGAAAACCTCTCCAGAGTTCCATCCACGTTCTCAAGACCGTAGCTGAAAAAATTCACCTGGCGGAAGCTTCTCCCTGAAAAATTAATTGAAATATTGTGCTCAATGGCCTGCACCATCCGATCACGATTCCGATGTGTCGGTTGCAGCTCATGCAGTTTTCTCAGCATGATCAGCAACAAATGAATGTTCTGGTAGTCTTCGTGATGGATGCTGCTATCGAATGGGTCCGGTTCCTTGTGAAAGTGATCTCTGCAAACCTGAAACGAAACACATTATTAGAACGATTGTTATGAATATCGTACTTCGATATAATCCCTACCTTGCAACAACTAGCTTTGAAATATTAATGAATTTTTTACCCATTTTATTTCAAGCAGATATTCTCAAAAATGAATAAAAAAGTATACATGTTTCATTTTGTAAAAATACCCCTTTTTGACAGCTTAGAATAAATTTAAAAATGAGTACAAGGTACTCATTTAATGGGTACTCTCCAGCGTGTATAGTAAATTTTCCGGAATGGTAGGAGCCACATTTTTTCTGTAAAGCGAATGATAGAGGATGTTCCTGTCTCCTTTCAAATTTCATTCATAACTTGAACAATCAGCTGATCAGAAATGTGTCGTAACATGGTCTACGAAGAGATACGTGCTCGAATATTCAAGATTTGAAGTAGTTAAACGGTCGACCTTCAGCTTTGCAGCCATACAGACTGGACACTTTCACATTTTGATGTGACGTCTGCAGTTTTGGAAACATGTTTGCATAAACTTGTTCAACTAGCTTATTGAAAAGCATTTCTTTACGACTGAAATTCTGGTTTCTTCAATCACTCACAAGACTGACAAGTCTCTAACAGTAATAGGAAATTTATCAGTTGATGTTCTCAGAATCAGGGGTAACTGTTAAAGTGATACAATTATCAACATCGAGTTAATTATGTCAACATTAATTTTGGGTTATTACATTTACATAGGACTTACCACCTACGAATTTTTAATGCGATGCGGCACGATTACATTTACATATGTTTAGTAACTATCAATCATGTTGTTGTAGGTCGAGCGTAGGTATCACAGAGTTGCAATTGAGAAGGTTAGAAGGAAAGATAGATTCTCTTCATCGACTTTCTCTTTCGTTAATAATTCAGCTGCAAACACATTCCTTGATTTGTGTGCCATTTTTGGCTATCAAAAGAGAAAGTCGATGAAGAGAATTGATCAAAGTCACTTACACCCCTTTCCTTCTAACCCCCTCTATTCAAAACCATCGACTATATCTCGAGCTACAATTTAAAGGGGCTTACAAAGATTTGTTTACAAAAGCTGATAGGCCCCTTTCAATTGTTGGCCAAGATGTGCTTACGTTAAAGCACGACTTAGGTGGATACACATCGATAGAACTATTTCTGCATATTGGCGGTATATGAGCAAATCGGGCGACCATTTCTTTTGAAAGTTTCATTCCCAGTCTCAGAGATGCTCCTGACAGAGGTAGATGTCATCTGTCGTCTTCTTTTTATGTTTGCAAAATGTTGCTGCGCACTTGATTTTTTATTCAGTTCCGGTCGAACGTTCAAATTTTCTCAACAGCATAGACGAGTGCATGAGTGAACTTTTGTTCATCTACTGAAAAAAATTGATACAACAGCGGTTCCCTGTTTACTACAAATGAACACATGAATAATGCTCGCGTAACATTTGAAAAAAGCCTATGTGTCAGGAAAAAGAAATAAAAGTTTTTTGTTCTGCCCCCCGCGTAATTGCAATCGCTAAGTGTGCCGACCCTGAGTTGATGAAATCGTACAAAGTTCTCTGAACTTCTACAACATTTGCTGAAGTTCTATAAAATTATCTGCACTTCTATGAAGTTTTACGAAGTTTGAGCTTTTACAACTGAACTCCTATAAAAAATTGCTGCACTTCAAGAAAGTTTTCAGAACTCATACGAAATTTTCTGAACATCTATGAAGTATCTTGAAGTTTCTGCAACGTTTTCTGAACTTGTTCTATGAAATCAAAGCCCTTGACTTCTACAAATTCTCTTGACTTCCATGAAGTTCTGTAAACACTCAGTTTTATAAATTTGAAGTATTGAACACCAAGGGTGCCTTCCATTCGTTTTGGCTAAACAAAATGTTTTATGAAATTATGGAATAATAAGATATCATGATAATATTTTGTTTGTGTAAACAATACAACCTGTTGAACACCTTTCCCCGCCCGTGAATTATAAAAGTAGCGGTGAAGACATGTGAAGACATTTCGTCGATCTCGTTGATCTCGATTTTTTTTAATACACCTGGCATCCCTGCTTACCATGCATCTTTTTCTCATTTTAGGTAATGCTGCGCATTTATGGACAAACACACGGTGAAAGCGCCCTTGAATCAATGCTCACTGAATCGGTTGTATTCACACTTTTAAGCGAGCGTAAACTGGGACCAAAACTGCACGGTATCTTCCCCGGCGGAAGAATCGAACAATATATACCGGTGAGATTTAGATTAGCATTTAGAAATTTTCAATCACTGACATATTGTTCACTCTCCTGCCAGGCACGTGCGCTGATGACTTCGGAATTAAGTGACCCAAAAATTTCGCTGAAAATAGCCGAAAAGATGGCAGCCATACATAGCTTGGATATTCCCGTATCGAAGGAACCGGACTGGTTGTGGAACACTATGAATCGCTGGCTGAAGAGTGTCGAGGCGACGCTGAAGACTTTCGAGAAGGATCGAACCAACGGTAACAAGCGTATCGCTGGTGATGAAATCATCACCAGTTTAAATCTGCGAGCGGAGGTCGAGTGGCTTAAGTCAGTTATCGATAAAGAAGATCATCCAGTTGTTTTCTCACACAATGATTTGCAGGAAGGTAACATCCTGTTGCGGGAAGATTTTTCACCTTCAAACGGTTTGGAAAATTACGGGTAAGTGTACGAACAATGCGTTTGCTTGCTTTCTTACAATATATGCTAATCATCGCACGCAACCTAGTTATAACGAGCTGCTCAAAATTTTCAGCACCCTGGACCAATTTGACGAATCCGCGCAGTTAGACTCTCACTTTAGCTCAATATTAATTTCCAATTCTAATAGCAGCTCTGCCTCTTCAAATAGCAGCAAAATCGACACAAACGGGACTGTCTCGACCAATGACCAAACCGATGGTGGCAGAAATCCAAGGTAAGATGTGATTGTATGCTATAACAGGTATTGATAGTATCCAGCCTTAATTGATAGTCGTTTGGATTTACCCCGCTTCGATTATTTGATGAAAAATTGTGGAGTTGAATTGTATCGCAAGATTGTATATCTATCTTTGTTTCTATTTACTGTTGCTAAAAAAAATGCCATTAGCGGCGCCGGTGATGAAGTGATAAGCGTGATTGCCTCTCACTCCATAGGGCTTGGGTTCAATCCCATTCGACGCCGTCGGGATTTTCTGAGGCATAACATCTCTGATCTCTGAGGGAAGTAAAGCCGTTGATGCCCGGTCCTTGAGTTGATGGGTCGATAGGTGTGGGGTTTCAGGCGTGGAAGCTGTCTTCCTGGCGTCGGTAGCAGTAATCAGAATAACTATGCTTTCCTAGTCAAGTTATTAAAAATGTATAAGTCTTAAATTGAATCCCCCAATTTGACATTGAAACATAATAATGTAATATTAGACCTTGATAGAGTAGCTAAGACGAAACTCAATATACTCAATTAACATCATCGAAAAAACAAAAATCTATTTGCCTTGCATATTTCTACAATAGAAAAGAATTCTTGATTGGCTTTCGTATCGAGAATTTCAACTGTCCCTAGTTATAATTTATTATTATATATACTATGAATCCTATTGCTGACTTTTGAAACACACTATGTCCATTTAGCAATATTTAGCAGTTATACGGTTGCACTGCTCAGAGTTAATTTATCAGCTTTTTTAATCTTCAATCTTTGGAAGAAAAATCATAAACAATAATCACCCATATTCACACAAAAAACTTTGTTTGTATGGAACATACGGTTCGATCGAAAACAAGAATATGGGTGATTATGTTTCTCTCCAAAAGTTTCATCATAATCTTTTAGGTTATACTCCAAATTCGCAATTTTCTGGCTGGCTTGAAAACGGCTCATTATGTCGTACCTTACTAAATATTAATTTCCACAGGAAGCGTTCGTTAGATGAACCCATCGAAAGTGAGTTGGATAGCACAAGAGACTCAGTACTTAGTGGTAACTCACAAGCATTGTCAGATCAACCTTGTGACGGAGAACCAGAGCTTATGATCATTGACTTCGAATATTGTGCCTACAATTACCGCGGTTTCGACTTAGCTAACCATTTCCTTGAATGGACATTCGAATACACCAACTCCGCGGCGCCTTATTTCTACCACAGACCAGAGCAGTACCCCACCAAAGAGCAACAGGTATGTACTATCAGTTCCCCGATGTAAAAGAACAAATTGCTTATATACCAAATCACATTTTTCGCGGGAAATTTGTTCTTTTACCGGGAATGTTCGCTAGAAGCCATTATTCCATAATCCTATATGAATTGTCCATGATCTTCATTACGATGCCTTTTACAATGCAGATCACTTAGTCACACAAAACAGAAACTGAGAAATTCGCCCGAGAATGCGTCTCTCCCTTGCCGTCTGCCGAGAGGTTTGTCTCGTCAATGTTTGTTGTGACCTGAGAACGCTCACGTGGGTTGAGTGATTCTACTTGAGTTCAGTTCATGTGCTCCTGTCTAGACAAAAGTGGCCGCCGAAAGGAAGCGATTAGGTCATCTAGGTCACTACCATTCATTTTATTCGTTCACACTAGCAATTAAGCCATACCTGAGTGCACAAGTAATTGTTTTTGTTTTCTTTTTAGAGACGCTGTGAAACATTTGTGTAGTTTTACCCAACCAAATTTTCCATTGCAATGTGTTAGCACGAATCTATGAAGGGGACTAATGTTTGCTCTATTTTTCAATCATTAACGTTCTTAAGGACAAATTTATTGCAGTGTATCTAGCTAGAACTACCTGCTGCGAGGATGCCGAGGTGCCGAGCGCTTTGGAAATAGAGGAGGTACAACGAGAAGTGAAATGCTTCACTTTGGCGTCACATTTGTTCTGGAGCTTGTGGGCAATCGTGAATGTATATCAGGAGATCGAGTTTGGATATTGGGTAAGTACTTGAATCGATATATTGTTTATGGAATTACACCCAACGTTCGCTAAGCGATAGATCTTTAACTGAAATTCTGCTATCTGAAACAAGTTTTTACTGACATGAAACCTTTGCAGAATATGTCAACTCTTCATATGGTCTTGTGTGAAATGTTTAAATGAGTGACTTTTCTCAAAAATAGAATCAATTAATATTGGGCTTTTAATTTCATTTTCATTTTCATTTTATGATGTACAAGGGGATCAGGGGCCATGTCACCGATGTGAATATTCACACCATCCATAATACACCAGGGAAGGGGAGAGGAGTGAGCAACACAGCATATTTACCCATGGGGGTTAAAAAAGTTCTGCGAGGTACACTTATGGTGAACCAGCTGTTCAGGGATTGTATAAAGGAAGAGGGTTGGGTAAGTTTAAAATGCAGAATTAGATGCCGTCACGATTGAATGCGCATGTTTAAAAAACGTGGATTCAGGTACCTATCGTATAAATTTGCATATCATCTAGTTATGGTTAATGTCAATAATACTTACATTTCGATAAAGATGATGCTACCTATTTTACCTTATATGTGATACTTATAATCACAGAATCAAACTTTGAATCGTAGACCAGGTCCATTAACAAAACACTCGTTCCGAGAAGGGGGTCATGGTACCACTCATCCTGTATAGTCATCTTCTTCTTTTTCTTCAGGTTCGCTCACCACCCGGAATGAACGTTCGGTGTGGTTAGTAATATCAAATAGTGTTTCATCTGAATACCCAACTAACCATATCTCAGTGACATTGTCTCACTCTGAACCTATATTTAAATCCTTTAAATTTGTCGAACCTCTTAACGGAATCCTTTTATGAAGAGCTTTGAGTGGGTTGGTTTATTTCCTTTAAATTTCGTTATAATTGCTTATCTTTTGACAGATACGCGTATTTCGTCTACTACTTACAGACTTCATCAGTGCCAAGTACTCAACACCATTTGGCACCTACTTGACACTGATGAAATACGCGTATCTGTCAAAAGATAAGCAATTATAACGGAATTTAAAGGAAATAAACCAACCCAGTCAAAGCTCTATATTTAAAGTTATTTTGTGATTATATGGTTACTTTGGTACTCACATGTTCAACAACGCCCAACTATCGACAGCTCAATGCTAATACCATTTCCTCTTTGAATCAGCTTACACCAACATAATAATATACTAAGAAACACCTAAGAATGTATAGAGATAAAGCTCAAAATTACAATTTTAACTGATGGTACTTTATAAACATTGAACTGTCCAATATTGGACCCTGCCAACAAACGGCGCCCGCACGGTAATGTGGGTCGTCAGAATGGTTCATCGGTTGCGAAGTGAAGTGCTTCTCAAACTGAAGCGATACATTTCTCAATTTTTCTAGGTTATCCTAATGTATACTTTATATTATCACCCATATGCCCGTCCACGTCCGAAACCCATACACCATACAAAATCAAATAAAAATGTTTTTGTATGGCAAATACGCCAGGACATAAACGAGAATATGGGAATCAACTGAAACAACTACGGGTAATCATCGAAAATACTTGCATTTTACTCAGGCACTTTTGAGCAAACTGCAATCACTCTCTCATACTCGAAATGTGCCTCGACCAAATTGGCACAACGACGCCCTATACGCTCTCTGACCAAAGCGCAGAGGAATTAATTAATATTGCGCTTTTAATTTACATAAAATTATATAAATTATGGGTGCGGCACGTCTTTCGTTTCGAGGGGTGCATCGATTAGCTTGGGACCGAAGAGAGTACCAGAGCTGAGTCAAAAAGTTGAGCATGTTGCTGCGGGACCTTCTCTGCCGCTCTTGGCAAGTCCGTCCCATACAGCTGGGTGGCATCCCTATCTTGTTTGCCTTGCCTTGAAAAGAGCTAACATCGCTGCGGGCCCGCGAATTGCGGGCCCCACTGACAGCTCATAATTTGTAAACAAATAGAAGATTCAAGCCAGAATTTCAAAAAAGGCGTGACTGATATTATGGATATTCTTAATATTTTTGCTTACATTTTGTAAAAAATAAACTTAGGACTCATAAAATATTATTTTCTGATTTTCTACCACGAAGTCAACCATTTATATGGCATAAAAGGGAAAATAATTTCATATGATAAAAATAAGAAAATTCAGTCACGCCATTTTTGCAGTTCACACTGGAATTGTGACGTTTCAGATGTTGGTTTCAATAACATGGCGGCATGTCACCCAGCTGGTCCCATAGCACAAAACAGCAATCCGAGAAAAACGCGTTTTTAGTTTGCTTTGTACTGTTGCTTCTTATGTAATGGGACAACCCATTTGGCTGTTTTCCAATTTTTCCCAGAACAAAGTTGTTGAGTTTATTCAGTATCATGAAACTAGGGACGATAAGCTACCGCTTCCATTGAAAACCTCAGTTTTGACAAAAACGCAAATGGGACAGGCTTGCAAAGAGCGGCAGTTCTGGTCTTAGAGCTACCTCGCTCACATAACCCAGACATTATAAATGCTTACACTTTGGAAGCAAGAGAAAATGTGCTGTCACCCAAAACTTCGGAGCGGCTTTCAGTCGAACGGGCAATATATAATGAGGTCCCGGCCCCAAAAACCCCTGCATACAATTTTTAACGCCGATCGGTTCAGTAGTTTCCGAGTCTATAAGAGTTAGACAGACAGACATAAATTCATTTTTATATCTATAGATAGTGCTAGAAAACTGTCAAGTCTATTCGTATTGACAATCATGATGTCCTCACGATTTTACGAACCGTATCTACACCATGGAAATTGGATGTTGCAGAAAGCCTCGAGATCAACAAACATCGTGTAATTCAACTTTACTCAACAGGGATCAAGGAAACGGACACACATGGCTTTTCAAGTTACTACCTAGGACACATCAACGAGTAAACAGCGGAGTACCTGTTCCTATAGAAAATTAAATTTAAGTTTACCTAGTTTCTAAGTGAAAATGTACCTGTGTTAATATATATTCGGTAAATGCGATGTTTTTCTTTAGTCGAGTATTAGTACAAGACACTGAAGAAGTCTGCACATTGTAGACGAAATACGCGTATCTGTCAAGGATAAGCAAATTAAGTAGTGGAATTAAATGGAAAATACTAATCCTTCTCTCTCTCACCTGAGTTTTGTTTAACACTCCGAACACGATGCCTCCGGTAAAATGTGTAACGGCAAATTGACAATGTTTGAAAAATCATTACTCAGCAATGTATCGACAGATTTGGAATCTATTGATACCGAATAAATCTTTACAGTATGTTGTTTCAAGTAGCACCAATAGCTTTGAAATTCGTAGATACATGACTGAGCTATGATTTTCAAACATTGCCAGTTTTCCGTTACATATTTTGCCGGAGGCATCGTGTTCGGAGTGTTAAAAAACGTAAATATTTACGCTGTGTGCAGCAAAGAATTGATGCAAATATTGATGACGAAAATATTGAATATTGTCAAGGTGGTTGGTTGTGATTTCCGCAGAACTTTGAGATTTGGGTGTAATTGCTTTTGTACACAAACACGCCCATCGCTGATTTTCTCGCGAATAAAAACACAATCTCGCGAGCAAAGTACATATACCAAATGATAGAGGATTTGACTTGGAATATTCCATCGGATACAACAATGTTAGTGAGGAGTGACCGTATATTGATGACCCCTCGAAAATGTTGACATGAAAATATTGACGAAACTTCTGTCGTGTGGGGGCCCTTTAGGTTTATTTTCCTTTAAAAAGATGTTTGTCCTAAACTCGATTTTGTAACCAACTGATGAACTACAACTTTTTTTATCCATTCCCATCTTTTCATTGCAGGAATACGCAATCTGTCGTTTGAATCAATATGTTCTCAGCAAGAAACTCTACTCCGAGCTGATCAGCAACTCGCGAAATCTCCCTGCCATAGATCGGGAGAAGTAAAATAGCACGTCTTCGGATGAATTTCCAATTATTCCTTCCTAAACCTTACATCCCATGTTGAGACAAAGGGGACACCCAGACATTATACACGCTCACATAATCCAGTATACTAAAATCGGCTAGCACAAACGCAGGACACGCTGAGCCACTTTGCCCATTGATCGAATGATATTGACACTGAATCTGTAAGCTATCGATATACTTTTGAAAATGGCAACTGTGCTTAAAGGTGAAAAGAAACGTCTTATCAGGCGGCATCCGTCATGACTAGTAATTGTACCAGTATTAGTGGCCATTACTTTTACACAGACACGAAAGAGTACATCATTACAACTCGAAGAAAGAGCGTTTATTTTAAATCCAAGCATTTCCACCTGAGTAGTAACTACCGTTATAAAACATGAATTTTTTAAATAATTTTCTAATTGGACATCAATCTAAAAGATAAGGGAGCAGGGGCGCCGGTTTTTTTTTGAACATAGAATTTTAATGTTGTATTCCGTGCGAGAAAAAAAAAAACAAAACAAAACTAGAGACTTAAGCCATGATAACAGTGTGACTGACAGTAGGTAGGCGTAGGATTGAACTGTGAACGAATCGTAATTGATATTCGATAGAGAGAGCGAGAAGGCGTCTTATGCAATAAAGTTTCTATTTCGTGGTAAAAGGAGCAAACTATTTGTTGTGATTACTAATACAAGTAACTTGCCTAGTTATTGAACCCAAAACATATCGATGATTCGACCTTAATTTGAATATTAGATGTAGCATGATAAGATTTTCAGAGATTATTCAAAATAAAACAAAAAAATGTGATGAAGAAAACAGCGATAGCCAAATTATAATCAGATGTGTATATATTGGAAGGTAAAGGATTGCACTTGCAACCTGCTCACGTGCAGAAGCTTTTTTTATTAATCTTTTCGTGAGAACGTGCATCTCAAAATGGCTGATTGCCAAAATACTTAAGTATGTGAACATACTGCGCTCCGTTTTGCGATATATACTTACTAGACTTATGCTATGTGTAACAGTTTTGAATGTCATAAGATTTTTTTATTTTTCTCAATAAAGGTGCAAAAAGAATATGAATGTTAATTGTGTAACATGTTAATAGTTAATAGTTATGATAATATCACCCTCGATCTTTTATATTCCTATCCAGTATTTTGCTATCGTTAAGTGCACCCCACAGGACAGACATGTCATTTGTTATAACCGATGGAATTCCTTCCCGACAAAAGTTGCCGAGGAATAGAGCCCACACAGCAAAAAAAGTTGTTGAATATTACATCGAAACTGCTGCAACCAGGTCAATCCATCGGTTGTGTAATATCACATTGTACGATGTACATCGATTTTGCGAACAAAATGACATCCATTGATGTAATATTGTATCTGCTTTTTGCTTTTACATCATTATTTCATACATCAGCTTGAATTACGTTGATCGATATTACATTTTTTTTTGCTGTGCATGTGGTATCCCAATCAATACGAACCATGCTCATTAATTATCCACTCCAGGCCATCGCTGGGACAAAAATGCAATTATGCAACTTTACGCGTCCCATATGTTTGCCACTCGTCACTAGAACTGCAGCGCTCTCTCGTCCTCTTTTTTCCTTCCTGGGTGGGCCAAGGTTGTTCCTTTAATCAAGTACTTCAAAACGTACAATTTGTGGTACTAGCTTAAAGCAATACAACCAACAATCAATACGAAACTAACGATTTTAAATTGGCTCACTACTTGACTAGCCTATTGGTCCCAAGCAAAAGATTAACGTACCCCATTCTAGTCGAAATTCTAGAACTACGCAACGTTTGTTTTGATTTGATATGAAAGTTTGACAGATAAAATGAGGGGTTATTGGTTTTTCCTATGTTTCGAGGGGTGAATCGATTAGCTTGGGACCGAAGATAGTACCAGAGCTGAGCCAAAAAGGTGAGCTAGTTTCTTCGGGACCTTCTGGTCTTAGACCTCTATGTTATTAAGCTTGATCAAGTCGATCAGCGAGAATAGTCATAGACATGATGTAAGTGGTAGTTCCATATCATCACCAAGAGAGTTTTGAAATGAGAGGGAGACACAATGCAGTTGGTTTCAATCGATTCGGGTGTCGCTTTGTCGTTCTCCGCACGTTTCCTTAGTATCAGAAGAGGTCGTGTTTGCGTCACTCGCTATGCGCTAGTTTATGTTTTTCGCGTGTGCTACCCGTGCTACCGGAAGGGAAGTACACAGCAAAAAAAAATGTAATATCGATCAATGTAATTCAAGCTGATGTATGAAATAATGATGTAATAGCAAAAAGCAGATACAATATTACATCAATGGATGTAATTTTGTTCGCAAAATCGATGTACATCGTACAACGTTATTTTACACAACCGTGTTGAACCCCCCGGTTCGACTTGCAACGACTGAACGAAAGCCCTTCAGGCAACACTGCTTAACGTCATATCAAATGTTAAAGAACACCAATAAATTCACTCTTGTCTGTAGCGTACTAGCGTCCACACGTGTTGCCTTATTTCCTCTACTGAGTCCTCGTTTTAACAATTCTCTTAACCTCAACAGGTTATGGGCTCAGCTTTGGGGCCAGTGATTACGGGAAAGTGCGTGACGCGATTCGAAAAATAGGGATTTTTTTTTTCGTGGTTTTGTCCGGAAAACTTTTGCTGGAGCGAAAATGGATTTTTCTAAGGTGGGCGTCATCCGGCTGAACAATAGGAACTATCGTTCATGGGCTTTCAAGGTGCAGATGCTGATGATGAGAGAGGGCACGTGGAATTATGTTGACCCGGGTGTCGCGCCGGCACCAGTCACTCCGGCCTGGACGGAAGGCGATTCAAAAGCGCGAGCCACCATTGCTTTGTTGGTGGAAGATAACCAACATAACCTCATCATGTCAAAAACCACAGCGAAAGCCACATGGAATGCGCTCAAATCTCACCATCAGAAAGCTACTCTCACCGAAAAGGTTTCGTTACTAAAAGAAATTTGTAGTACAAACTATCGCGAAGGTGAGAATATGGAGGAGTTTTTGTATGGCATGGAGGAGCTCTATTCTCGGTTGGAGAATTCGGGCGAGAAGATGTCCGCGTACATGCAAGTGGCCATGATTTTGCGGAGCCTCCCGAAGGCATTCGATGCTCTTACCACCGCATTGGAGAGCCGTTCAGATCAGGAGCTGACGATGGAGCTTGTGCGAGCAAAGCTCATCGATGAAAGCCAAAAGCTGTACGGCGGGAATGTTCAGGAAGAGCGTGTGCTGAAGGCGAAAAACGAAGCAAAACCGGCAGGTGTTTGTTTCTTTTGCGGTCAAACCGGACATAAGAAGCGTGACTGCAAGGAGTTCCTGTCCCGGAAGAACACCGGGGAAAGCAACGATAAGAAGAAAAAGAAGAATAAGTGGAAGCAGGAAGAAAAAGTGAAACAAGTGCGCGAAAACGACACGAGATCGTTCACGTTTATGGTTCGTGGCCATAAAAGTCGTAACGTTGCAAATTCCTGGTTGATCGACTCAGGTGCCACCTCGCACATGTGTAGCGACAAAAGTGCGTTCACTGAAATGGAACACGGTTCGCGTTCGAGTGTCATCGTCGCGGATGGCAGTGAAAATCGCGTAGAAGGCATCGGCGATTGCATGATTAAGTGCGCGGGTGACAGTGGAGAGACAGTTGAACTCACACTGCGGGGTGTGCTGTATGTCCCCACTCTAGAGGGAAATATGATTTCGATTGGAAAGCTCGCGTCAAAAGGTGTCCGTACGGTATTTGACAACACCGGTTGCAAACTCGTGTACGACAGTACGATAGTCGCGGTCGCGGATAAAGTGAGCGATATGTATTGGCTACGAGTCGTGGAGGATCGAGTGTTGAAGTCCGAGACACGGCATCACACGAAAAACTGCCAACATATCTGGCACCGCCGCCTTGGACACAGGGATCCAGACGTTCTTGGCGAAATACGACGACACGATTTGGCGACAGGTCTTAACGTTGTCGATTGCGGCATCCGGTGGACCTGTGAATGCTGCATCGAAGGCAAAATGGCTCGGCCATCGTTCCCGCATGTTGCGGAGAAGACGTCGACAAATGTGCTGGATATAATCCACAGTGATGTTTGCGGACCAATGGAGGAGGCAACTCCAGGAGGATGCCGCTATTACATGACCCTGATAGACGATCATAGCCGTTATGCTTACGTATATTTTTTGAAAAAGAAATCGGAGGTCGAGGATAGAATTCGTGAGTACGTAAGATTGGTGGAAAATCGCCTTGGGCGCAAACCGCGAATTATCCGCTCCGATCAGGGCGGAGAGTATTCCAGCAAGGCTCTACGAAAATTCTACGCGAAGGAAGGGATAAAAGCGGAGTACACCGCAGCATACTCACCTCAACAGAACGGGGTTTCTGAGCGAAAGAACCGGTCGTTAAGTGAAATGAGCCGGTGTATGCTTTTGGATGCAGGTATGCACAAACGATTTTGGGCTGAGGCAATAAACACCGCTTGCTACCTGCAGAACCGTTTGCCATCTGCGACCGTCGGTCGTACGCCATACGAGATTTGGTTTGGCAGAAAACCAGATTTGAATTACCTGCGATTATTCGGATGCGTTGGCTACGTATTGATTCCGTCAGCGAAACGAAAGAAATTGGACGTCAAAGCTGTGAAAATGACATTCGTTGGTTACTCGGCCGAGCATAAAGCGTATAGGATGCTGAATACACGGACGGGAGAAATCCAAATCAGTCGGGATGTCCGCTTTCTAGAGCTTGGTGATGGATCCAAGGATCAACTCCTCATTGATCAAAGGCTGGAGGAAAATTCGGAACGTAGCGAGGAAATCGAGTGGACTCTTGATAAAGTGGCGAAACAAGAAGAACAACCCCACGAGGTGGATGATACAAACTCCGAAGGTGATTTCTATGGCTGGGACGATGAAGATGACGGCTGGCCACGAGGGTTTTGGCACGATAACGACAACGACTGGCTTCGCGGACTGTGGAACGATGATGACGTAAGTGATCCGGTGCGTGTGAATGTGGAGCCAGTCGCACCTCCACCCGCTCGTCGTTCACAGAGGGCAACGGCAGGTGTTCCACCGATAAGGTATTCTGAAGGAGTGAATTCGGTGAAGCAAAGTTTCGTTGAACCAAGGTCGTATAAAGAAGCTGTGTCCGGTCCACAGTGTGCCGAGTGGAAATCGGCGATGGAAGATGAAATGCAGTCTCATCGTGAAAACGGAACATGGGAGCTTGCGGAATTGCCAGCAGAGCGGAAAGCTATCGGATCAAAATGGATATATAAATGTAAGGCAGATGAGGATGGCAATCTCATCCGATTCAAAGCGCGGCTGGTGGCGCAGGGCTTCTGCCAAAAATATGGGACAGATTACGATCTGGTTTTCGCTCCCGTAGTAAAGCAGATAACGTTCCGGACGATGCTGATTGTGGCAAGCAAGCGGAAGATGTTGACGAAACATGTGGACATTAAGACTGCGTATCTTCATGGGCAGCTACAGGAGGAGATCTTCATGCGCCAGCCTCCGGGGTATGAGAGTGGTAAGCCGAATGAAGTCTGCCGGCTGAGACGCAGTATTTACGGGCTTAAGCAGGCAGCCCGTGTCTGGAACACGAAGATCGACGAGGTGCTGAAACACATGGGTTTTGTCCAATCAACGGCGGACCAGTGTCTTTATATACGCCAAAGGGTGGGTAAGTGCGTCTTTGTGCTTATTTATGTTGACGATGTCATTGTTATCTGTTACACTGAGGAGGAGTTCGCTGAGGTGGTCCAAGGACTGAAACAGAACTTCATGATAAGCGTCATGGGTAACCTACGATTTTTCCTCGGAATACGTGTTCGCATTGATGATGGACAGTACTGTATTGACCAGCAAGCCTATTTGGAACGAGTTCTGGAGCGATTCGGCATGCAAGATGCAAAGCCGTCTAAATACCCGATGGATCCCGGCTTCCTGAAACAAAAGGAGGAGAATGGTAGAAGATTGGATTCGCCGGAAGCATATCAAAGTCTAATTGGGGCTTTGTTATACGTCACCGTTACCACCAGACCAGATGTTTCAATTGCCACGTCAATACTGGGGAGAAGAGTGAAGGAACCATCTGAGGCGGATTGGAATGAGGCCAAGCGAATACTACGTTACCTCAAAGGTACGCTGGATACGGTATTGTACCTAAGGGGTGATGAACAGAAGCTTGAGTGTTTTGTGGACGCTGACTGGGCAGGCGATGCCAGTGACCGCAAATCAAACTCTGGGTACTTGTTTAAGTTCGGCGGTGGACTCATCGGATGGGGCTGTCATAAGCAGAAGTGCGTGGCCTTATCTAGCACCGAGGCTGAATATGTGGCGCTTGCGGAATGTCTGCAAGAGATAAAATGGATCCAGAAGTTAATGTTCGACGTTGGTGAGCACCTAGTTCTCCCGATTCTGGTGAATGAGGACAACCAGAGTTGCATTGCATTGACTCGAGGAGACCGAGCTGAACGCAAGGCGAAACACATCGACACGAAATACAACTTCGTCAAAGATATGGTTCGAGACGGCATCGTACAACTGACATATTGCCCGACCGAGCACATGGAAGCTGATTTGCTGACGAAGCCGTTACAAGCTGTGAAACTGCGACGACTACGGGAGGCGATCGGCCTCAAGCCATTCAGCGTTGAGGAGGAGTGTTGAACCCCCCGGTTCGACTTGCAACGACTGAACGAAAGCCCTTCAGGCAACACTGCTTAACGTCATATCAAATGTTAAAGAACACCAATAAATTCACTCTTGTCTGTAGCGTACTAGCGTCCACACGTGTTGCCTTATTTCCTCTACTGAGTCCTCGTTTTAACAATTCTCTTAACCTCAACAAACCGATGGATTGACCTGGTTGCAGCAGTTTGGATGTAATATTCAACAACTTTTTTTTTCAGTGTAAAGCCGCTGGTCCCAGGTTCATGAGTAGGGTCCAGGTGTAGGAGCTGCCTTCCTGGCAAACATATGACGAATTCAACCCTAAGACAATCATCCGAAATTCGAATGCATATTGTTAAAGGGCTCATTCGAGCAATGCAATAATCATTCGAAGTATTGCGGATGTTTTCGTTCAGTGTGGATTGGGGGAATCAAATAGACATGGTTAGACCAGTCCAAATACTTATTCCAATTAATGGGGTACGTTAATCGATTTGCTTGGGACCAATAGGCTAGTCAAAGAGTGAGCCAATTTAAAATCGTTAGTTTCCACCGGTTTGTATTAGTGAGTGTTTTCATGGTTTGTAGACAGAGGGCGCAATATTTTTTTTTATATATTTCCTTGAAATTAAATGCCTTTTTACCCAACATGTCAAAAAATCAGCGATGTGTTTATTTTTTCATTTTTTAGTTACATTTGTATAAGTTATCAAGTTTTGGGTTTTCGCTCAATACTCATATGCGACTAGACTATCATGCGTCGTGTTCATGTTACAGTCACTATAAATCAATGGAGAAGCATGGTAGTGTAGTCACTAGACTGATGCAAAATTTGAAATTTTCGCTCCACGGTGTTCAAACGGTTTCAAATTGGTTCCTTATTAGCCTCCGAAAGTTTAAACTTATTTGATTAGAAACTGACTTGGCACAAACCATTTGAAGTTTATATGGAAAATACTATGGGAAAACAAAACTTTTTGTTCATTGTCATTTAGCCTTTTTTACATATTGTACTGTTAACAAATTATATTGCTATTCTTATGGGAATTTTTATCAGCTACAACTTTACGGAAAAAAGTTTTTCGGCCAAACGTCAAATTAAATAGTTATTAATTGTTTAAGAGATTGATAATCTTATGGCAAGATTAAGCAACTGTATTGTGGGCAACACTGTATTCTGCAGTGTTACATAGTAGCCATGATTTTTGTCCTCTGTTTTACGCGCCATAAACACCAATGCTGATTGAGCATAATCATAAGACATCAGTGACTTGAATCATTAATAACTTTTGTTCCTTACATTTGATCGAAAACTGGTTTTCAACAAAGTTGTAGCTGAAATTTTCAGCAAGCTCAGCTACAATTTTCTAGCGATAGATATGAATCGAAATTATGGTTTGTTCATAGTAATTCCCATATAAACTTCAAATGGTTTGTGTCAAGTCAGTTTCTCACTAAATGAATTCAAATTTTGGAAGGCTAATCAGGGCCCAATTTGGAATGCATCAGTCTAGTAGTCACATAGACTACCATAAAAAATATAACTTAAAAACGAAAAAAAAACACTTCGTTGATATCAAGTACCAATTTTTTTCTAGTGATTTTTAGGAAAATTTACGTGTAAAACATGTTTTCTATTTCACAATTTAAAAAAATTAAAATTCTATGCTAGCATTTTTCCCATCATACAAAATGTTTTTGCTTGGAAAATGTCTTAAGATTCACAGGTAAAAACTGATTTTCTTGGATTTATTATATAATATTTCGTTATTTTTAGAAAAATCAAAATTCAAAAATCGCCGGCGTTGGTAAGCTTTGCGTTAATTGCGATTTAAGAGAACCAACTCCTTGTCGCTAACATTTCTGCGGGTTCTTCTACCCACTCATAGGGGTATTATACCTTCACTTCAGGACTCGTTCCACAGCTGGTTATGGGTCCACTGCTCGTTGCTGTTTCTTCGTACAGTGACAAGTTGAGTATAATCTTATTAGTGGGACTTGATAAAGTCGCTCTGATACGACAGCCCATTGTTATGTGCAGGTGCCTTGCTAAGTGAATGGTAGTCTCAATAATCATCAGTCATCACCCTCGCAATGATACTTTATAATATTGCTAGATATTTGCAAATATCTAAGTAGTTGTATCGTATGATTGTATGTTGATTGAATTCAAGACTGTTGGAATATTATTATCCAGGATTGTCATCAGAATTATTAGCGCTAGGTTGGTAAATTACTTTTTTGTTTATAAAAAAAACCTGTTAACCCCGATGTCCCATACCTGAAGTATCACAAATACATTTCTAATGTACGAAAAATAACTATTACAGCTTCGCCTGAGCGTAGCCCCTGTAAACTACATCACGCCACCATTGTGGTCGTTCTAATGCTCCCGGAGCTTGCATGATGGCCGATTCCATGTGTTTGTATACCTCGCCATCGCTCATACCGAGGGGGGAATTGAGAATGAAATCCGGCGGAGCAATGGCATCCACCAGCGAAATGGCGTCAGTTTTGATCAGTGGCAACAGCTCTAATACTCCCTGCTGCAATAGGTCCAATGCATTCGATGTGTGTGTAAAATAACCACCCTGGTAGAATATGCCACTGTACTTCAGTACGGCATTAGCGCCGTACAAAGAAACCAAACGTGTGAGGGCGATTTTTTCCGAACCTTCCTCTAGATTTTTCAAAAATTTATCTGCCACGAATATCAGCACCCTCTGTAGTTGAAAATTGACGACATTAGTAGAGCTAGAAATGAAACGTCATTGAATTTCCCTCTGCACTTACCTCGCCATACACGATTGATAATGTTCTTGCGAAGAACGATTGTGATTCATTTCTAACTTCGAATGAAGATTTACTTTTTTGTTTCAACAGTGCCGTCTTTTTGTACGTTTCTTCAAGCAGGTACGCTACTAACCAGTTAAGTGCGTCCAATAAACCTTAAATTCAATAGTATCGCTTTAGTAATACGAACACATGTGAGGTATCTGATAGGCTTACCTTGAATCTCAAGTGCCTGCTGTGGTGTTTTACAACAATATTTAGATTGTTCAATTTGTTCAAAATCCTTCAAAAAAGCTGCACTTCCAAGAGGGGAGACTATGCCAAACGCATCATAGCCACGTGATCGAACTCCAAGCAACCAATTCGAAGTTTGCTGTATGAGAACGTTATTCTCGCCTTCGTACGTACAGTTCGGATCGTTATCATTGCGCAAGTCTCCTAGCGTTGATAGCTTCAAGAACCCATGTCCTCCGCAGGCTTCCCGACACTCCTGGATGCCGTCTCGTGCCGCCCACGTGCACACCGGTTTCGCCGCCGAAGACAAGACGTGTACTTCCATTCCAACATGTTCACTCTTCTCACCCATCAACATTTTCAGTAGAACATCCCCGTACACCTTGGCAAACCACAAGTTGAACATTTTGATAGTGTAGGTGGCAGCAAAATGTGGGAAAAGGCGGAACTGTTGCGACTGATACTCAAGTACCGGCAGTTCTTCAGAATTGTCATCCGCACCGAACTGCTTTCTGCTGGCGGAGTAGCGAATAGCAACACTGATAGCTTTCGTTAGATACATATTTGCGATACCTGTAAAAAGAGATGTTTTTAAGATGTTGAGATAACATGGAAGTGAGGGATAGACCGATCACTTACCGCAAATTCCAACTCTTCCTCCTGATAGTGCTGCTAGCGAAGCTCCAAACCGTTTGCTTTCGTCTTTGAACGGAGAAACGAATGTTCCCTCCTCATTGACGTCACCGGTCTTGGCCAGCAGGTAATCCCGTGCAATGCGATAGCTCTTAAACATGACAAATCCATTATCTACGCCATGCAAGCCGGACTTTTCTCCAAGATCGCCAACAATTACTCCCGGGTAGGCGTTTAGCGTTTTCGGGTCGCGCACCGGCACGACAAATGCGTTTAGACCATGGTGTTTACCATCCTCGGTATAGAGTTGAGCATAGCAAATAAGATGCGTACAGGTTTTTCCCAAGTTTCCAATCCAACATTTTGCAGCCTCAAAGTCCGGTGTATTCAGTACGTACTCTTTGGTGTTTGAGTCGTATGTTGCCATAGTTCGCATTCCTTTGGCGTTAGTTCCGTGGGAAATCTCTGTCAGTCCAAATGCTCCCAGGATCTCACCAGCCTGATTTTGCTGAATGATATGCGATAGGCGACCTACATCAAGTGCTTGGATGACGGAAGGAAACATCCCAAATCCAAGTGAGTACTTTACCGCACAATTAGGATCATAGGCCATGAGCAAGTGGTTAAAGAATCCTACAAAATCTGGTCTTTCCAAAATTTTCTCGATGCCGAAAAGATTGGCCTTCTGTAACACGTACATCTGCTTCGTAGCCAAATGGCGACATTCGTCGGTTGTTAGAATTCGATTGGATCGAGCAAATAGCGGATGATTTTGAAGGAAATTCCACGTGCTGTTTTGCAGATCCAAAGACGCCTCATCATTCAGCGCTAGTTTCACCTTACGCCAGTCGATTGTCGCCTGCTGTCGGTACTTGGTCAATGGCCCAGATTTCGGCAGATCAGGAAAGAAGGTCTTATTACCAAGCAGTTCAGGATGCGCAGAGGGCCTATTTTTGGTAAAATGTAAATTTATTGATTTATTAAAATATAATAAAAATTAAAGGCATGCAATCTATTTTTCATGGTCAATTCTAAGTCTGTTTAACCGCACCACTTCGGTTACCAACGAGAAACCGAATAAAACCGTTTAAAAATATGTTTCCCACGCTTTTTTTTCGAGTCAACATCGAATTTCGGTTACAATGGGATAAATTTAACGGATAAAAATGACGACTGAACCGAAAAGTACGGTAAAGAAGTACGCAACCAACGGTACGCAAACCCCGTAACGTGGGTAGGTCACCTTTTCGTGGTATGTTACGAGCTGTAAGATCTACCACCGATTCTTAGTCCTGACTACTTCAAACTAGGGAAACAGGATTTTTCAGTAATCCAAGGAACACATCTTAGTCCTTTTTACTTTTTATGCCTTGTTGGTAGTGACAAGACTCGATGATCCATTTTGTAACATTTTGAATGCAATTCGTGCGGTGCCAAAAAGAACCGAATTCCGTAATTGCAACAGGTGAATCGGTTATTCATGCTTTTTTTTATTAATTAATTTATTTGTACAGGCTCAATCGAATAAACTTTACAGAGCCAAGTTATCATTTGCGTTATACATAATTGATGTCTTAAATCTAGATTTAAAGGAACTGAACCGATTACTCGCGGTCATCTCGAGGTTAGTAGAGATTTACAGTTTTATGGATGAGGAGAAGGAGGGGGAATAATATTTCATTATTCCCAAAACATGAACTTATTCCTATTCAATTTGGTATCCACAGTGTAATTATACAATTATTACAGAAACAAACATTAAAAAAAAACCCACACGAATAAAACAAAAACTAAACACAAGGTTAGTCAAACTTACAATCTAAGGTTAATATTCTTAAAGAAAACATATATAAGTTTCATAAACTCCAGATCGCGTCTACCCAAAATATCTCGAACTGGAACATTAGGTTGTGTACCTCGAGCCCGAAGGGAATCGTACAGTTTAGATCTGACTCCGCGATGCTCAGCACAAGACCAAATAATGTGATCTGCGTCCTGGTAGCCTTGTCCACATTCACAGAGATTGCTGTCCCCCAGCCCAACATGGAAAAAGTGAGCGTTTAACGAGTAGTGACTGGACATGAGGCGAGACATCATACGAATGAAGTCTCGGCCCACATCCAACCCCTTGCACCAAGGACTCTTCGACACCTTAGGGATGATCGAATATAGCCATCGTCCCAAACTTCCTTCGCTCCATTTATTCTGCCAGCTGAAGAGTGACTGTTGACGATAAATGAAGAAAAATTCATCGTAGGCGATTTGTCGATCGTAAATATCGCCTTCCATAGCGCCCACCTTAGCAAGTGAGTCCGCCATCTCATTGCCCGGAATCGAGCAATGAGATGGGACCCATGCAAAGGTGATGACAAAAGATCTTAAAGATAAAGCACTTAGAAGCTCTCGTATTTTCATGAGAAAATACGAGGAGTGCTTTACCGGCCTCATGGAGCGAATAGCCTCGACAGAACTCAGACTATCCGTAAAAATAAAATAGTGATCTGGTGGAAGTGAGGCGATCGTTTCTAGCGTATAGTATATAGCCGCCAGCTCAGCAATATACACGGAACAGGGAGCTTGAAGCATTCGAGAGGCGCTATGAAATTCGTTATAAATACCAAAACCAGCGGACGCCTCTATTAATGATCCATCTGTGAAGAACGATCTTGTGGAATCAACTTGGCCAAACTTTGCAGCATAAATTGACGGAACAATCATGGAACGATGATGTTCTGGGATCCCACGAATCTCCCGCGTCATAGATAAATCAAAACTAACTGAATTGCCGAAGTCGGAGAAGCATACACGATGAGGATTATGCTGTGAAGGGCTGACATCCTGTGTTATGTACACGTAAATAGTACAATGACATAAAACGAGTTTGAGGGTTCAGCTCAAGAAGCTTTTCAAAGTTTTCGATTACCAGTGGGTTCATTACTTCGCAACGGGTGAGGAGCCTGAGGGACAATTCCGAAAACCGATCCGATAGTGGCAACATGCCCGCCAACACTTCTAGACTCATCGTATGAGTCGAGTGCATGCATCCTAACGCGATACGAAGACAGCGATACTGGATCCGTTCTAGTTTGATGATGTGCGTTTTAGCCGCCGACTGGAAGCAAAAACTACCGTATTCTAAAACCGATAAAATCGTTGTCCGGTACAACGTTAGAAGATCTTGCGGATGGGCTCCCCACCACGTTCCGGTAATTGTTCGGAGAAAATTGATCCTTTGTTGGCATTTTCGTCTCAGATACTCAATATGGGATCTCCAGGTGCATTTGGAATCGAACCAGACCCCAAGATATTTGAAAGACATGGAATGAGTGATCGGCCTACCCAAAAGTTGAAGCTTCGGTTGTGCTGGGCTATGCTTCCTAGAAAAAACGACCAACTCAGTTTTCTCCGTGGAGAATTCGATACCTAGCTGAATAGCCCAAGTAGACAAATTGTCTAAGGTATCCTGTAAGGGTCCTTGCAGGTCGACCCCTTTGGGCCCTGTCATAGACACTACGCCGTCATCTGCAAGTTGTCTCAACGTGCAGTTGTCACTTAGACAATTGTCAATTTCACTGACGTAGAAATTATACAAAAGGGGGCTTAAACATGAGCCCTGGGGGAGACCCATGTAACTAAATCGAGAAGCTGTAGAGTTTCCATGAGAAAAGCTCATATGTTTCTCTGACAGCAAATTGTACAAAAAGTTATTTATTAATGGAGAAAGGCCACAAGCGTGGAGTTTGTCTGAAAGGACTTCAACCGATACTGAATCAAAAGCCCCCTTGATATCCAAGAATACAGAAGCCATTTGCTCCTTTTTAGCAAAAGCCAACTGAATTTCTGTGGATAGCAACGCGAGACAGTCGTTCGTTCCCTTGCCCCTACGGAAACCAAATTGAGTATCTGAGAGTAGGTGGTTCGTCTCAACCCATTTGTCCAAGCGAAAAAGGATCATTTTCTTCAACAATTTTCGAATGCACGATAACATCGCGATGGGACGATACGAGTTATGATCTGAAGCGGGTTTTCCAGGCTTTTTAATGGCTATAACTCTCACTTGCCTCCAATCATCCGGAACAATATTGAGCTCCAGGAACTGACAAAACAAGTTCAACATGCGCCTCTTAGCGGCGTCTGGGAGGTTTTTCAACAAGTTGAACTTGATTCTATCAGCCCCCGGAGCCGAATTGCCACACGAAAGGAGCGCTCTCGTTGTTCGAAGACCGGTTACGCATCCTTCGCGCCGCGTTCCAAAGCGTATTCATCGACGTTTCGCGCGATAATCCGTCCACGAATTGCCGCCAGTATGCGCGTTTCTTGGCTTTTATGAGGCTCTTGAGTTCGCGTTCAAGAGAAGAGTACGCTTCGAAATTCACGGGTGTTCCACGTTTCCGGAAAAGCTTAAACGCGTCGGACTTTTTACGATAAACCTCAGTGCATTGCTGGTCCCACCAAGGGGAAGGAGGTTTCCTACGGAAAGACGTTCCAGGAACCGGCCGAGTTTGAGCTCGAAGCGCGCTGTCCAAGATCAGATTGGAGAGGAAGTTATATTTTTTCCAATGGTGGAAGCCCTTCTACACGGCTTCCTCTATCGCGGTCTTGAACGTTGTCCAATCGATATTACGGGTGAGGTCGTACGCGACGTTAACGGATTCCGACGGATTGAACCCATTGGCAATCGACATTTTGATCGGCAAGTGATCACTACCGTGGGGATCTTGGATCACATTCCACGTGCAATCCAACGATAATGAGTTAGAGCAAAGTGTGAGGTCTAATTTACTTCCATTTGAGGATGGACCAGCCAAACGTGTTACTTCTCCATTATTAAGAATTGTCATATTGAAGTTGTCACAGAGGACATATATCATAGTAGAACGGTTGTCATCATACAGTTCCCCCCAGCCTGTACCGTGGGAATTAAAATCTCCCATAATCAACCGTGGAGCAGGAAGTACTGAACATATATCTGAATGTTGTTTTCGATTAACAACGGCTCTAGGAGGAGTATAAACAGAAGCAATACAAAGGCTCTTACCATTAATAATAGCCTGACATGCGACAACTTCAATACCTGTAAATTGTGGAAGATTCACTCTATAGAAGGAATGGCACTTTTTGATCCCCAAAAGTACCCCTCCTCCACGCGAATCCTCACGATCCAGTCGAATAATGTTAAAATCATAAAAAGGAAGATCTATATCTGAAGAGAGCCAAGTTTCACAAAGAGCAAATGCATCACAATCATTATTGTGAACTAAAAACTTAAAAGAGTCTAATTTTGGAATAAGGCTTCGGCAATTCCACTGTAGAACAGTAATCAAATCCCCGACCACGTTTGGAAAATTATCCATCGAAGGAAATGATTGCTGCAAGGAGGGGCCACTTCAATAATGTCAACTGCTTCAAGAGGGTCTTCACAGAAGGAAGCATTGCCAGAACAATGCTTTTGAGAGGATCAGAAATATTGAGGTACTTGAGGATATCGTCCACAATTTTATCAAATGAGAACAACCCAGATGAAGAAGGGGCTTCTGTTCTTAAAAATGGGACATCAGGGGTTTTTGATGTCCCCGGGAGAGATGGAAAATCCTGGGTATAGTCAGTTCTGCGGAACCCAGGAGGAGTAGAAGTCTCTTTTTTTTCCACCACTCCTTGATTTGGGCAAGCTGATTTGGGGCTCTTCATTGTCAACTTTCCGCGAACGGATGCGTTTTCGTTTCCGTGCAGAAAAACGGAAAGAAGTTCCCTCCTCAGCCAAGTCAGAGTCAGTCTCGTCATCTGACAAAAGAGAATGGATTTTTGTCGTTGGTCGATGGCGTGGCCGTCTTAAGCATTTCCGCAAAAGACTGCCGGGAGCGTTCCTTGAGTGAGCGTTGTAATTTCTCCCCGCGTTGTTTGTGACTGCAGGCGCCATCCTCGTGCTTCTCCCCGCATTTGGAACAGC